TTTTAAGAATATAATTTGTATAAAAGAATCATTATTTTGTTATGTATTGATTTTTGTTCAATATAACATTAGTTTTTTCTTTAACACATAAATTTAATAATGATTTTTTAATTTATTTTTTGTCATTATATATTTTTCTAAATTATACCTAAAAACATATTTTGATAAAATAATTACATGTAAAATTAAATGAAGAAAAATAAATTTTTGTTGGTTGCTTGAATTTGTTTTGATTCTAATTCTGAATTTTGATCAATTTAATTTTGATATTTTTATATTTTTAATACTATAATACTTTTAATAATACTAACCTTTACAATGTAAAGAAACTTCATAATGCAAATAGCAGTATTTAACAGATTTAACTTACTTATTTTACTGGTTTATGTTTTTCGAGTTTTTGTAATTGCTTTTTATCATAGCTATAAGCATCGAGATCTCCGTAGTAATTTTTAAAATCCTATTTTGCAAATTTTTGAATAGTTTATTTCTCAAACATTGCTCATGAAAAATGAATTTAACATTTCTCTAGTGTAAATCGTTGCTCTTGTAGTATGCCATCGCTCAACGTACGTGGAACGAAAAAGAAGGTGGTCGGTTTTGTCGATCAAGTGTCGCCCGACAGGTATAATCGCCTATGCGGCACAAACTTGCAGTTTAACCAAATTCCGATTCCAGTGAAGCGAGAGTAAGCATATGAAAGACAAACTTGCCGTTAATGACACTGATAATACTTTACTAATATCGTAATTAAATGTTTTTTGAAACTTCACTAGGATCGGTAAGTGGTCCTAGTTCACTAGCGTAGGTGGTACATAGAAAACAGAGAGACAGCTGAAAGTTCGCATGCTTATGTTTAAACGAATCGCAAGATGATAACAATTCTGTAAGAACACTAAATTACTAGCTTTCACGATAGCACAAAGATGATAACATTCTCCAGTCAGTAATAAAATATAACTGTTGTTAAATTGAAAGTGTAAGATTCTTTTGGAGGCTGTAAAATATATGTGTGTACGCATTTCTCTTTAAATTATTATTATTATTATCGATTATATATTCCTATTCAATAAAAATAATTTTTGAAATATTATTTTATTGTAAACGATATAATATTTGATAATTTATTGACAATTATTTTAAGTAAATATTAACTTTTATTATACAATAAATTGAAACTTATGCACACAATTATATACAAAATTGCATAAGGTTACAAAATTTAAAACATTTATTATAATTTTCAAGAGTGAATAAAATTTTCTTTTTACAAAGTTATATAAATTATATGTTTAAGTAGTTTTGATTAAACGTAGTTAAATCTATATAACGCCATTATATACTGTCAAGTTGTGAGAAAAATTTACTTAAATTGTTTAAGCAAAAGATTAATCGCTGTGAGGTTTGTTAAATCCTTATCGAGGAGAAATACATCGTTTACTCGACGATATATGCGATTCCGCCCACGCAAGCTGCGTGGTCGGAAAAAACTCGATGCAACTCGTTTGAGTGAGGTACTATATGCAATAAGATATAAAACAAAACGGAAGAAATATGCAATAATATACTGCATGTCTTAAGTTCATTGAATTCCATTTTATCTAAATTTTTTAATATTTATATATTTTTTTCTTGCTTTTTATTACAGGTAAAATATAAATATATATAATAATTTTGCAATAACAATATTTTAACAACGATAGTTTAATAATTACAAAATTGATATGATTAAATAACTAAAACTAAGAATTTTTCTGAATTATATTTCAAAGATATACATATATAATAAAATTTTACTTTTATGTATTTTAAAATCACAAATTTTTTGCTAATTTCTTATTTCGAGAATTAGCCATAAAGAAATCATTGATCCTTAAAAGTTACACAAATAAAACTTTTTTATTAAGTAAAAATGAGCATTAAGTAAAATGAGAAATCTAAAAAAAAAATATTTTATTAACTGATATTCTTTAAATTATATTATAAGACGTGTTGTATTTTATTGTGATCAAATTCTTATAATAGAACATCTTGAAAAGTCTTAGTCTTCTTCTGGGTGCCACATAACAAAGGAAGCAACAGCCTTTCTTTTGCGTCGACCGTGGCCGTGGACGTGGCGCAGAGAGAAGCTCGTAGGAAGGAGGAAGTACGAGTCGTGCTCGCGTAAAGGCGTATGTGACGACACATACGTAAATGAGCACGATAAAATTGTTATTTTGCGTGATCTTTAACGGAGTTTAGTAAGGGCTATGGAATTTTCAGCTCTCCCTTGACTTTCTAATGCCGTTTTTTGGCTGAATACTGAATTTATGAATTATGAATTTTTAATAAGATAGATTTAATAAAATAGATATTTGACTACTTAAATTTAAATGGCTTTTGGATTCAGATATTTTAATTTACATAAATGAAAGAAAATAATTTTAATTAATGTTGATTTATTTTCTAATTTATAATTTCCATTTCATATTGTGTCTTATATGTCTATATTATATATTATATATATTATATATATATATATATATATATATATATATATTATAACAAACTAGTAATATGATAAATATTATTACTTTATTTTATAAACGTAGGTAATTATTTAATTCAAAATGTGTCCGATAAATGTGATTTATGTAAAAATTTAAAAATTTTTTTAAATTCATATTTTAAATAATTTCTGTTCTAAATATGTTTGTGTTATTTGGTGAGCTATTTTTGTATTTATCTGTCCATAACCAGATGTCAGATTGCGAATTACTTAAAACTCGTTAAACGCGCATTAAATGTTCTCAGAACTTTTTGCTTACGTGTCTGCTGCATAAACATAAAAATAAATAAACTGGTTTTTTAATTCATTGAATAATATCTTTTCTGAAAATGTATCTATTTTTAAATCAGGATTCCATGATAAATTATGTAGTTAAAATTCATAATAATCGTTTTCCAAGCTATATCCGTTTGCATTTTAATGTGAAGTTAAATGTACAATCCGTAAAATTCCATTAGTCAATTATATAATTTTGTATAAAACGATTGGGAATTTGTGTTATAAGCATATAATGATTGGATATTTATGTTGTGAATTGTTTAAATGGGCAAACAGTATTCAGCCTATTATGAAACACTCTGCAGAACTAAATTAAAAATACCATTGTAATTGCAGTACTCTTAGATACTCTCACGTTCGATTGCTTCCATTCATTGCACATAGTAATCGTTCATGAGCTTTACAATCAAGAACATTGCGCATCGTAATTTCATCGGCTTTCCTGCTTGTTTTCATTTCATCGGGATACACAAGCAATTTAAAATTTTATATGTAATAAGTTTCATTTAAATTTTATAATAATAGAATTTGTGTAAAATATAAAAAGAATAATGTTGATCATGATATTACATTATACTGCTTTAGAAAGATATTATAATTTTTTATAACTTGTCTTTAGGAATTATCAGAGAAAAGAGCTAATGGGGCGTTTCTTAAACAATTTTTAACGATAAGATAAAAATCCATAATTTAGATAAGACTATGTGTAATCTTGGATTACGATTTATTGCACTTTTGTCATAAAAATATGGATCACTTACACAGTTCTTTTGATACAATTCACGAAGCTTAACCACATATATTTCAATGTCATCACTTGTTTGATTGATGATATTGGAAAGAAGATATTGATATTAAAATATAAAATAGATAAATTGTAAGGAATTCTTAAAGCACTTTAATTCACATCAAATGATTTACATTTGCTCATATAAAACTGCTTCTAGTGCGGAAAAATTTCAATAAATTCGATCTGCTTATTTAAAGCGTTCAATGTTCATGCGTCACTGTGCTGTCTGGAACAAAAAGGAGCGCTGTGTATTTCTTCGTATACCATGTAATTGATCTACTTTCAGGTCGAGGACAGACTCGGTAAGATCGAAATCTCCATTGACGGCATCACCGGCATCACCGGGTCCATTGTCAAATTCTTTGCATGGTAGTTTCCATGGTAGTCTAGGAAGTGATGGTATGTCTTGTAGCAGTGCTAGGTCATCTTCGGCATCTCCTGATTCGGCAAGATATTCATCCTCACAGGTATCGATATTTATCTATGACTATCTCAATAATTATTTATAATATTTTAAAGAAATAATTTAAAAATAACAAATTTAAAAATCTATAATATTACGAGATTCATGATAAATGCTCGAAGTGTGTATCAATATTCTTAACAATTTTAAATATAATAAGAAAATTATTGAGAAAAATTAAAATTAATACGCAAATGTGAAAAAAAATATTATAATTTTATTTATTTAATAACCAATCAAAAGAATAAATTAATCAAAATTGCTAAATATTCAATACATATAAGGACAATTATAAGAACAATTTTGTTATCTAAACTTTTAAAAATTATAAAATAAAGAATTTAAAAAATTAAAATCTGATAAAATAATAAATGAACAGAAACAATAATATTTACAAATGATTTAAGACAATGGAAATTTCCTTAGTTATTCATATAAAAATGTGTAAACGCTTATATATTTAAATAAAAGAAACAAACAATCATGATGTAAACTATGGATTATGTGCAACATAT